TAAAAAATGACTGGTCCCCAACCTTTCTTCCACTGCAGCTTTCTGTTTCTCAGCCAGTCCCAGTACCAACGCGGCCGTGATAAACTTGTCTTCTTGTTTCGCTTTCAGTTTCTCTCGTTTCAGACGAGCCAGTTCAGCCTGTCTCTGTCTTTCGCTCATGAAGTGTTCGTCTTTTCCTTGTAAACTACGCATCAGCGCTTCCTTTTCTTCCTCGTATCTAAAGAAAGCAGTAACGAGATGGTAAATTCTCTTTACCTTCCTATATCAAATTCAGTGGATAACTTTGGAGAAGACAGGACCTGATCATTCTTAGTTGGGCAAGTTCTCCCACCAGGGCTTTTTCCAAGCGTTTAGTTGGTAAAACGAAGCAAAAAAAGCAAAGGGCGCCTTAGTAGCGGAGAGAGGTTTGGGTCGAGTCGCGTTATGATTTTCACAACCCGACCTCGTTTTCGTTTTCGCTCCGCCGGTGCTATTGCACCTTTTAGTATTCCGCTGCGTTTTACTAATTGCACAACTAAAACAGGCTACCAATTCCATAAATCACTTAAGGAAGACAATATCTGAACATTCCGAGTAGGAAAAGCCATTCTAAAACCGAGCTCTCGACATTCAAAGTATGACACAGGAACAAGCACTTGGGTTTAATTCTTAGGGCATCACTCGGCTTCGAACAACAAGAAATTCTACACCACTGTTCTCTAAAGAAAGGATAAGAAACGACAGATGTGGAGTATTCTCTTCTGAAAGTCATTGCAAATTCCGTAAAGTAAAATAATCCATACGCAACACAGCCGGGATAAATGGTCGCCTTTCACTCCACAAAAACATCGGTTAACATCAAAACTGTTGTCATTATTTACGCTGCGACACGAGGTTTTCTTCGCCTGCAAGAAAGTCTGAATCCTTGAGAAAAGCGAGCCGACGAGAGGTCTGCCAGGGGTCTGGCACTAATCATTATTAGTGCCAAACCCCCACCAAACCTCTCCCCGACTCGTGTCAAATCTTCCCGCGGGCGGATGAACGGAGGAACCTCTAAAAAAACTTTCAGCCTGGTAAATCAAGCTATGAATAAAGTTCTACCAAGTACCTTTTGTCCATATCTTCCAAGATAGCTTTCAAATCTGTTACTCCTTCTCCTTCCGCCTCACCATCCTCCAACTCTGCCTCATCATCGTCATCAGGCGTCAATCCCTGAGCTAATCGCTCCCTCCGTTTTGCTAGTCGCTCCTTCAGTTTTTCCTCGTACCTGTCACAATTAGAATTTCAAAAAGTTGGAAGGGGAGTGAAAAAAGCGTCTTAATTTTACCAGTAGTTAGTTCAGCGATAAACTTTCTGGTCGTCTCAGACGACCGGATGGCCGCTAATCTCGATCACTTAAGGATCCTGAAGATCTTGTTTAGCCAATTTTCATCATGATTACCACTATCTGTTCATTTGCGATGTAGTCAGCAAATATCATCTCCAAACTAATTGTTTCTTGTTTCCTTTTAACGTTGAGGGTAATTTTTCATATCGTGTCTGGTGATTCAAAAAATGATCATTCAGCCCCCTACTCTCCCTACCCTCCAGAAAGTTGAAGTTCGATACTCATAGTTTCATGGCCTGCGGTCACTGACAGTAACATTAAACACACCTTGCTTTGTTTTCACCCATCAATTTTCTTAGATTGGCGTCCATTTCAAATCCTTCTCCCAGCAGACGGTGCAGTTCATCCAATTGTCCTTCCTTCCGCAGTCGTCGTTCCTCTAACTTGAGCTTCACAAGTCTTTTCTGCCGCTCCTGCTCTGACAGCTGCGCCCATTCGGCGTCTCCTACATGAAACGGTACGAAAAAGTAACGAGACTTTTTTACATTCAGTTCCAAAAATTCTCCAGGTTTGCAGTAGTGCACTGAGCATTGTGCACTGGGATCGGCCAAAAGAAACTGGCGTCACCTTCTCCGACAACCAATCAGACGTAAAGTTGAGGCCAATCGAAACTTGATCGGTCACGTTTTCCCGTGCTCAAGGACCTGTCATCGTCTGCCAATACTTTTTTGAGTTATCATCGGTTCATTGTCATTTTTGTCTTCATTCTGACTGACCGTTAATATTACTCTCATAGGTTGAGGCTTTATTGTCGCAAAAGTATTACAATAAAATGAAGACACCGCAGGGTAGTCTTTTCGCATCTAGGAGACGAGCCTACGATCCCAGACGTAATTCGGTATATCGCACCTCTCTGCCCAGTCGGAGAGAGAGGCGACATCTGTCGTAGGAAAAGGGTTATAACGGTCTATTAGTATGGGGGCTTGTTTGTTGGGGATCCGTCCCTTACATTTTCACAATAATAGAGAAAGGGTTTCTTGTATCACATTATTTCAACTGGTACAGTACACACACACCACAGACATATTCTTCAATAGTATGTCTCATTCTAAATCAGCTAACTTAACAAAGAATGCACACGATCGACTGTAATTCCAAGGTTCAAGGTTAATAACAGAGTTATCAACCTCGCAGAAGTGTTCTAAAATATTTCCTCCCCAATTCCCTCAGTCACTTAAATAAAAACATTAAAGGACTAGAAAAGGAAGGAGATTTAAACCACTACACCCTTACCTAACTGCTTCTTGATAGCTTCCAGTAAGAGTTTGTCTTTAAGCGCGTCATATTTCTGATCCAGAGCTGAGATCAAATCCTTGTCTGATCCAGTCCCATCATACTCTAACAAGACTGTGG